TCTTGAATAATATTATATGTATAATGATTTATATATATGTATTTACAAACAAAATATTTTAAGATATAAAATATATAAAAAAATATTTTAAAATATAAAATATTTACAATAAATATAAATATAATCTAAATTATTATATTCATATATTAACATTCCTTTTAAAGTTAAAGTGGTTGTGATTAAACTAACTTGAGTTTGGAAAGAAGAGTACGAAAGCGTCCAAGAAAATAACCCTCAGTGAAAAGGCCTGCTAGTTGATCAACGAAGCCAATAAAAACCAAATGAACAGTTCCTTATGCAACATGATGAGGAACAAAGTGACAATCAACCTCAATGTGTTTAGTGCGTTCATGGAAGACATCATTACGAGCAATCTGCATGGCATTCTGATTGTCACAATAAAAATTAGTAGCAGGCAATTGAGAAACACCCATATCTTCTAGTAGCCAACATAAATTAAGTAACTTTGATGTGGTGTCTCCAAGTGCTCGATATTCAGCCTCTGTGCTAGAACGTGATGGAACTGTTTGCTTCTACACCAAGAGATTAAGGAATCACCAAGAAAAAGACAATAACCAGTGGTGGATTTACGATCATTAGAGTCTCCAGCCCAATCAGCATCCGAGTAAGCACGAAGTTCAAGAGATGAATGAGCAAAAAAGTGAAGTTCATGAAACATGGTACCTTTAATATATCAAATAATGCGAAGTATTGTTGCATAGTGAGTGGAGCGAGGCATAGCCCTAAACTGGCTAACAACATGAACTGTATAAGTTATGTTTGGTCGTGTTGTAGTGAGATAAATCAAACTCCCAACCAACTGTTTGTAACGAGTAGGATCAGCTAATGGAGAACCATCCATGGATGTAAGTCGAACATTGGGCTCAAAAGGAGTAGATGTAGTTTTACTGTCAGTGAGTCCAGCTTTAGATATAAGATCAAAAGCATATTTTGTTTGAGAGAAAAGATAACCATCATCATAAAAGGTGACCTCAAGTCCCAAGAAATAGCTCAAAATGCCAAGATCTTTCATCTCAAACTTATGATTGAGAAATTGCTTAAGATCATGAATACTTGAAATATCATCCCTAGTAATGATCATATCATCAACATAAAGAAGTAGTAGAACCATACCATGATTAGTCTTACGTATCAATAGTACAGTATCATGAACACTAGACATAAAACCAAATTCACTGATGGTGGTACTAAAATTCGCAAACCAAGGTCGAGGTGCTTTTTTCAAACCATACAGAGCTTGCTTCAATCGACAAACTTTGTTTGGAGGATGCTTAAGTCCAGGAGGTGATTTCATGTAAACTTCCTCTGCAAGATCACCATTTAGAAAGGCATTTTTCACATCCATCTGAAACAATTTCCATCTTTTTGCAACAACAATAACAATCAAACTACGAACTGAAGTAGGACGAGCAACAAGTGCAAAGGTTTCCTCATAATCAATCCCATATTCCTGAGTAAATCCTTTAGTAACCAAACGAGCCTTATAACACTCCATAGAACCATCAAACTAAGTTTTGATCTTGTACACCCATTTACAACCTACTAGAGGCTTTCTAGTAGGAAGATCAACCAAATCCCATGTGCGAGTTTTGTCAAGAGCTTATAATTCATCTTGCATACCTTGCTGCCAACGAGGGTTAGAAGAGGCCTTTTGGTAGGATTGAGGCTCATGTAAGGAGGTAATAGCAGGAAAGCAATGATAATCACAAAGATAGCTAGAAGGATTTCTTACTCGAGTACGATGACTTGAAGGTGGATTAAGGATCTCATTTTTAGGCTCAAGATTAACATGGTTAAATCTAATAGGTGATATAGAAGAGGTAAGGGAAGAAAACTCAGCATTGTCTAATGCATTACCAACAGGCAGAACATCTTCTATAGAACCAGGTGGAGCATGTGGAGAGGCATCATAGAGCTCATCAAATGTATCTGCATCAAGGTCATTAGGAAATAGCTCAATAGAAGGGTTAGTAAAAAGTGGATGTTGATCAATAGATGACATCTAGAAGTTTGATAATGAGGAAAACATAATGTGTTTCCAAAAGACAACATGACGTGAGACTCAAAGTTTTTGTGACATGGGATCCCAACAACGATATCCTTTATGTGTAATCCCATAACCCAAAAAAACAACATAATCGAGCTTTAGGCTTTAACTTATTATGTTCATGAGGTGGAAGAAGAACAAAACAAGCACAAGAGCACAACTAAAAACCTTAAGAAGATCATAGGCAGGAGGAATACCATGCAAACATTCGTATGGAGGCCTATTATTGATGACTGATGATGGAATCCGATTAATGAGATAAATAGTTGTAAGAGTAGCTTCACCCCAAAATCGTTCTAGACAAGAAGACAAAATGAGCAAAGCACAAATAGAATTAAGGACGTATCTGTGTTTATGTTCGACTCACCCATTTTGTTAAGAAGTGTGAGCAAAGCACGAATAGAATCAAGGATGTATCTGTGTTTACGTTCGGCTCGCCCATTTTGTTAAGAAGTGTAAGGACAAGATTGTTGTGCCAGTGTACCATGTTCTTTCAAAAAGGATTAAAGTTTAGTGCTAAGATATTTTGTGGCATTGTTAGTTCTCAAAGCTTTGATAGTTTTAGAGAACTGGGTCTTGACCATTATAGCAAAATGAATAATTTATGGCAACTTAGAGCAATTTTTCATAAGATATATCCAGGTAAAACAAGTATGATCATCAATAAATAACACAAAATACCTGGAACCCCCCATGGTAGGTATCGGAGATGGATCCCAAATATCATAATGCACGAGATCAAAAGAAGTAGCAGAAAGAGAATGATTACTAGTAAACGATAAAGGTGGTTGTTTTGCAGATTGACATGACACACAATGCAAAGATTCACTTGGAACGGATCCTAATAAACCACGAGAAATAAGAGGATGGAATTTATCGACTGAGGTGTGTCCAAGCTGTGAGTGCCATAAATGAAGAGAAATATTAGTAGCAACATAGGCTTGGAAGATTTGTTAATATGGAATTTGCAAAGACTCTAATTCAGCAGTACACAATAGGATTTGGATGAATCGGTTGCTTGGATGAATCAATCATTTGGGAATGATGGTGTATCCATTTTGTGATTAGGTATATGTAGATAATTGAGCTCAAACAAACACCCCACCTTGCGACTTGTTCCAAGAAGTTGTCCAGTCTGTGAGTCCTACACATGACAACCATGAGTAGAAAAAGTTATTTCAAGACCAAGATCACATAACTGACCAATAGATAAAAGATTAAAACTAAGTTTTGGAACCAAGAGGGCGTTTGGTAAAGTCAATGAATTTGTGGAAATATTGCCTATGTGACTAACATTCATAGGGGAGTCATCAGCAAAATAAATGTCAAGAAAGGAATTATTTGGTGACATTGAAGAAAAATAAGTAGCAGTTGAAGACATGTGATTACAACAACCAGAATCGAAATACTAAGGTTTAGTACTTGGAGCAGCAAATAAAGCAATAAGAGTATTAAGAAGATTTAATATCACTTGTTTTAGAGATTTATGGTTAACAATAGGTTGGTCTATCACCTTTTTGGCAACCATTACAACAGCAAGATGAGTCACAGTTCTTTCAAAACTCGTCATAAAATCAGTAGAACTCACAATACTGAAAAAGTCTCTAAAGTATAAAGAAATAGATGCCAAGATCGAAATTACAACTCAATAAAATACCTCAAAAAATGTGTGAGAATTGAGAATTGAGAATAAACAATCCAATCTGTAGGAGAAGAGAACCCAATGATAAAGTTTTAGATCTGAAATAAATCTAAAAATCCAACTCAATAACCAAGCAATGATAAAAGAAGAACTAGGAGTTTATAGCTCTAATACTATGTTAAAAATCAAAAAATAAGGAGAAATATTTGAAGAAAGGTTTATTACTTTTTTTAATAATATTGTATGTACAATGACTTATATATAAGTGTTTACAAATAAAATATTTTAAAGTATAAAATATATAAAAAAATATTTTAAAATATAAAATATTTACAATAAATATAAATATAATCTAAATTATTATATTTACATCTTAATATTACCATAATTTTTATGATGACAATAAAATTTTGTTTCCCATAACCATATTCAGTTTAGTTCGCTTTTGTGTATTGTAAATTGATGGCGACCTTTTGCCAAAAAAAAAAAAAAAAGAATGGCGGCTACGCGTGTGTCGGTCGTCCAAGCACCAAGTTGATTGTCAAAAATGGGCTCTGCTTCCATTGGCCACAGATAATTGAGTGGCTTCTTAGCTTGCGATTTTAGTGTTTGTCATATCTATAAGTTTAAGACTCTAATGTCCTCTTGTCCCCATTGCTTTTTCTAATATTTCCTTTTTCATATGTACATATGTACAATTTTTTTTTATTAAACTCTAGACATTTAAAAATTATTAAATTTTAATTAATTAATTAAGAATTGAATTGTGACAAATCTTATAAAAAGAGAAACTTTTTCAACACCTATTTCTTCATTTATATAATTCAAATTCAAAATTTTATTTTAAAAAATCATTTTTTTTTCCTCAAACAAACAAAGTATTAATTTTTTTCATATATACTACTATTAACTATTATGTCTCAATAAACCCACTGGTTGGCTTTGAAGTGATAAGGGGGAACATGAACTATAGATGCAGGTCATGGGAACAATTATTATGCTATAAATACAACCTTAAGAATAGTATTGTAGTTCATGTGAAAATTTTCCAAGTTTTGGGCTATCGGGCTAGTAGTTAATTTTCTTAAACTTAATAGATAGATATGGGGTTATATATTTTTAAGATTGTTAAAAAGAAAGTAGTCTTAAAATAAGTGAAAATGAACCTAAATATACATTAATTGTAAATAAAAAAATTCTATAGATGCAGTCAGTTCAAATTATTTGATTTTATTTAGGTGATAATAAAATAAAATAAGTGTTTTTATAAATTTAACTATATCCAATTATAAAATATTAACTATTAAATTAAGAAGGTATTTAATATTAAGAGAGAACTCTCTATTTAATAATTACTATTTTATAATATAATATAATTTTAAAAAAATACATATCAATTTTGACTCTTAATAAAATTAAAATCGTAATTTTAAATTACGTCATTTTATTTAATTAAAATTTAATTTAAAATTTAAAATTTTATCTTATTAAATATTGATATTTAGATAAAAAAATTGATTAGATTTCTAAATTTAAATAAAAATTTTAATTGAAACTATAATTTTTTTAAAAACTGAAATTGACATGCATTAACTTCATATAATTTAGAGCATAAAATACCAAACTCTTGCAAAAGTTTGAGAGAAAATGCGAATTTGGGTTTAAGCCATTGAAGAACCTTTTATAATAGTCGTTAATAGCGGTTAACCAACATAAAAAGGGCAATTAATCAACCAACAGCTCTATTATGATAGCCGTTGGATTTGGCCTTATTACTGTAAATAACCATTGGTTTTTTGACCGTTAGAAGGGAGAAGGACTAGGACCTTAATTATAGTCTCGAGGCCCAATCCCAAACTCAGACTCCAACAATAGGAAGGCAACAAGAATTTAATGCCCAAAATCCAAATTAACTGATCTCCTACTCCTAGCCTTTGTGAAAAAAGTTCCATCCCACTTGACACATTGACCTTTCCTCATTCGACCATTGGTGTGATTGATGGTCTGTCTCAGAAAATCTTTGTAATTTGAACTCCATGGCATTACCAGTACTCCTTGTTTGGAATTAGCAGTGTGGTTGCCCTGGATTGTGCCAACATCTCAGAGTCCTTTTCCAATTAAATAAAAGGATTTGATGGGGTTCCGTTTTTGCTTGCAACAAGTGCAGAACAAGAACAAATATTCCAGCAAACAAGGCCTGCAAGACAAGAAGCTAATTTGTTAGTAACCCATAACCTTTCAAGAAATCTTTCTAGATGAAGCAGCAATAGGAATTGATTCATTGCACTACTTACCAACTATATGGATGCAATACGCAACAGGAGAATCGCATCTCTTCTTGAGTTTCCTTCACATGAAAAAATCACCCTCGGGTTTGATAAAATTTGAGTTCATAGCAAGAGATAAGTTCTTTGCAATTGACCTGAGAAGAAATCAATTAGAGAAGAAATAGATCATATCTGGAAATAAAAGCCTTCTATTATACTCTCCCTCATGCATCTTTTGCGCATACATGACAAGTGCCTTGGTGTAGAAGAATTATTAAAATAGGAAAGCACCTATTGTAGAACCAAATGTAAATTAATTTACTACCTAAAAGATAACCAAAATGAGGCTTTAATAGAGCACCTAATGCAATTTCTTTTGTCTAACAGACATCCGAAAACTTTTACCTTCTTTTTCATGATTCTTTGGTGCAGATACTACAACAGCTCTCCATTTCAGATTTTCAATTTCAAAGCACCTATTGTAGTACCAATTGTAAAACAATTTAGTACCTAAAAGAAAAAGCTAAAGAAGGGTTTGGTATGGTACCGAATGCTTATTTATTTATTTTTTTCCGACGAACATCTGAAAACTCTTGTGCAAATTAATTTACCTTGTTCCTCATGACAAACATCAGTTCAACTGGTTGTTTCTAGTAGTAGATAAGCTCATGAAATATTGAGACATCTGAATTCCACCAATTCAGGCACTTGTGCTGGATCCTTTGCCATTAGAGGCGTCAACCCACCTCAAGATAAGTTAATTTCTTATCTGCATTCATGCAACAGTTAGTTACGTAATTGACGTTTAAGTTTATAAATATTCAAGACAAATGCAATTGGATTCCAAAGAATTTTAAAGGACCTGACAAAAACTATTTTAAATTTCAATTAGACATGTACTTGTAGCAAGTAGTTACTCACTGCCTTCATTGCCTCACGATGAGTGCCAATATCTCATTGCCTTTTTCCAAGTTAATTGAAGAATTTGATGTACTTCTGATGTTATTGTTGCAACAGTTGTAGAACAAAAGCAAATATTCTAGAATGAAGCTATCAAAGAAACTTTCTAGATGAATTTATTGCCTACACCCACAATTGATGCATTGCTGCTTACTAGTTATATCAATGCAAATTGCAAAGAGAGAATCACTTTCTTTGGTAGTGTCTCCATAGCATGAAAATTAAACTTAGCTTCTAGGAAGTATGAATGCAAGGCAGGGATATATAGTTCTTTGCCATAGACCTACATAAAGAAATCTATTAGAGAAGAAATAAATCATATCTAAAATCCAAAAGCTGAATAATTAGAAATACAGACCAGAAAGGTGCTCCAATGTTCAACTTCCTTACATCTGATATTGCCGTAGAAAGTCCAATAAGAACAGATATATGAGGAAATTTTAATGGTCAATTTTTTATCATAAATTCACAATCTATTAGACTTATTGAACTTCAAACACCAGTAGATAAACAAAGAGCCATACCTTGTTAATTTTCTTCATTTCAAGGTCAGAAAATGTAGCTACCTGCAGTTAAGATGACAAACAAATATTGCAGTTAATGCTTCTGGTGGAACAGCAAAATTGTTACTATTTTAAAACGAATAGAACAATTCATATGTTCTATCAGGTCATGCGAATAGAAATCTTGAGATTGTATATAGCTCCTATGATTTGGATCAAACTCAAAATTCTTCTTTTTCCTATCTTCATGTGTTTGTTTATAGCACCTATGGTATGGTCCAATACGATTTATGAGAAGAAGCAGACCTTAATGAAACTAATCCTTTCTTTGACCATTCTATGAGTTCATCTGATAGTGAGCCAGAAATTTTGTTTTATTGGTTTTCATCAACATCTTCATAGATTATTTTCTCGCAAGATTCATATACACTTACAGATTATGTACCATTTTTTTGATGAAATATGTGGGGAGAGATTTGCCTTTTCAACCCCTTTATGGTCAAGTTCCTGCATATTTAATGTAAATGTCAGTCTCGGTAAGGTCATTGTGAGCTTGATTCTCGGATACTTAAAGGAAATAAACTTAAAAAAATTAATCCTAGCTAAAAGGATCATAACCCACATGGACTCAATCAAAACCGTCTACCATGAGCAATCTTTAAGAGCATAGGGGTCTTGTTGCTAGTTTCGATTCTTAGCATTATGTTGACTTTTGATACATTATTGTAACAACCAACTTTTATGGTTTTATGCAGATTATAGTGAAAAAATCATTCAATTTTTTGGTACTTTAGTCAAAATCATTCATAATATGTTTCAAGTTTGAGAAAAAAGATTTCAAAAACCATTTTCATGGTTTGCTGGCAATTGAAAAATTTTTTTTCCGTGAAACTACAAAAGCACTGACAATAAATGGGAGGGTTGATCTGTTGACAATGCTTAGACCAGAAAATATCCCTGCATCTAAATTAAGCAAAATGGAATGCTGGTTACGCAACCCATCGCTCCCATCGCTCTTAAGAAGCAGTCTATGAGGTGATCAAGAAGAAAAACCTATCTGAATTTAATAGCTTTCACTCATAACAGGATTGAGTGATGCATTAGTGATAAGATAAACCAGTGAGTTATCAATTAGACATTTTAATAAATTGTTGCTCTACATCTTTGACATGGTGTAATCCATGACATCAACAAGGAAATCTACAACCAAAGGTTACTCTTCAATTAGGACTGTTGAGAACTGGAC